GTATCAACTGTTTAGTAAATGACCCAATTTTATTAATGGGCCTTTTATATCATAATCTAAAGATTTTCTTTTAAGCAAAATGAAAAAATTATGGGAAAACGTTAAACCATAGCCTGAAATTTTGTTAGTTATTGCAAATGTTAGACCATAATTTAATGTTAAACAAATATTATATTTGAGTTTAATGTTGTCTGGAAAGGGTAATTTTTAAAGGATTACATGTTTGCACAACTTTTTAAAATTAGGGCAAAATCTAAACAGTGGCCTAATAAAAAGGGACATTTGTGTAAATCAGCCAACCAAAGTAAGAGTATATCTTTCGTTTAACCACAATTAACTGATAAAAAAATTTATGCAAGAATACATATCTTGGATTAATTGGTTTGACATAAAGAATGATCACGAATAGTAACAATTACCCTTAACCCTATCCATTTCCCGCTCGATAAAAATTTATCTCTGCCAGATGTTTACACCAAATAAATAGATGTATGACATGTGTTTGTACAGAGGCGGAGCCAAGATTTCAAGCTTATGGGTTCGGGATTTTAATTGCCTTAAATTTTTGGGTTATAAATTAATAATTTATGCATATTCAATGAATTTTTTAAGACAAATACAGGGTTCGAACCAAAGCTAGTGAGTTCAGCCGAACCCGCTCTCGACATTGTAGTTCCGCCCCTGTGTTTGCACATAGACTTTTTTTCATCTAACCCTTAATAAAATATTCTTACCCAATTAAAACACTTAATCATAATAAGTTGATATGAATTTTGTGTAAACATGGCGGTATCACCGTCTACAGGTCGAGTCATGAGATCTAAAGTGCAAATACTCGACGCCGTACACCCTATGCGTGTAAGATTTTACCTACCCGCCCTTCCAACATCCTTTATTAGACATCAATATTCAAGCCCTCAATCTCCATTTTCAATAGCTAGGCCATGCTATTTGGATTTTTTTACTACACCGTCAAAATTGGATTAAAAGGAAGTAAAAGGACCTGGTTTTATGTCCAAGAATTTGAAGATTTTTGACCATTCTATGCGGAGGCGGAGCTAGAATTCGATGTCGCGGGGCATCGTGACATTCAGTATAAATTTATCATTGATTATAAAGATTGATATGGGGGCATATA